CATCCTTCCACCAAGTTTCATGTTCATCCATCCAGTAGTTTTTGCTTTATCTTGCTTGATCAAACCAACCAACAAATAAACAGACAATAGTGACAACCGCAACAACAAAACACACACACACAAGCTCAAACTCTCATCTGATTCACTAAAATAAAATAATACACTACAATACAAATTAAAACAACACCCCTCCCTCTGCTATTCAGGCTTCATCCCAATCGATCTCGTCGATTGAGTCAACGCCAAAGTCTTTATCTAATAAGTTTCTACATTCATGTTAGTTTGTGTTTAACTGTATCCAAGCAGGTGACAAAATACTCTATGCTATAAATAGTCTATTCCTCTTGTTCACCGTTGATTGAATTTTAGTCTAATTGACTCATTTTCATTTATTTCTCTGCAGGTCTCTCCTGACTGACCGGATTCAGACACTGATGCACCTAATATGGACTCACTCACCACTGTTGTCAGCTGATAACTGCATGTAACCCGACCCCCTACTAATATTTTATTAAAGACATGAAAAAAATGTAAAATGTGTGGTTATTGATCTGCAGAATATAGTTGTATTTCACTTAACCTTGGTTTCAAAGTAATTGTGCACTTTTCCTGGCCACAATTAACCGGTGTTGCAAGAGGGTGCGCTTCACATCAACTGTCTATAAGTGGGGCCAATGTTTTCATGACTTGGACTTAAATAAGGCAAGCGACCATAGACCACATCTGATCCAAACACTTATGCATCTGCCACAAAAAGAGTTAAATATATGAATGTACACATGTTTAACCCACAGTTAAAACTTTGCTTTACATTGTGCATGATCACCTCATGGACGTTCATGTTCGGTGCCCCAGCGGCACCTGTGTGGGCGTCAGATCAAGCCAATCAATGTCTATACCTGCTCTTATAATGAAAAATAAGAAGTAGATCATTTTCTTGTAGCTTGTAGCGGTTTTAACTTATTTTTCCCCGAAGAAATTGTTAATGTTGCCCTATTAAATCTCTGAAATGCAGAGGAAGGTGCAGAAATGGGAAATCACCCAAACTGTAGTCTACAACTATGTGCTCTCTAATCTCCATTCTGAAATTGGTTCCGTAGAAAATATACCATAGACATTACTAGCTTTCACTCACGCCCACAGGATGAATAATGTATTGTTGTTACCTGCATTAGTTTTCTCAGTTATTTTTTACAGCTTAATTAGACATATTTAATTTCACAGTTTCGTGAGTGCACCTCATTATAGGAACAACTGATCTTGAAGTGAAAGAAACCTTTTCTTTTGTGATGCATGTGTGTGTCTGTTGAACTCACTGAACAAATAAACAAAGCTGGGCTGGATGAATACAAAGAGCTGAGGATTTACCATGGAAACTACAGAGGACCAGAAACAACAGAGGAAACAGTGATAACAAATGTAATTATTCATGTATGAATTAATTTATTTATCTATACACAATTACTAATCAATCAACAAATTCTTCAAATTAAAAAGGGATTTACAAAAACTACAAAATAGTCTGAGGTTTTGAATGAGATTATCAGATTATCCCAAACCCTGGTTATCAGAGAGCTTCTTACATGTCGTGGCTAATTTGCATTGTTTCACCCTGTTGTAACAGCACAAGGCCCAAAGTGTCACGGAATAGAGAGGTTGAATGGAGAAGCTAAATGACTCAGCAGGTTGAATAGCAAATAGGAAAAAAGGGAAGACAATTTATTAATGAATTCATTTAATTGTTTCTCCTTTTAGGCTGCATTTACACACACACACACACACACACACACACACACACACACACACACACACACACACACAAATGTAAAAAAATCTAATTAAAAAATCAATTAATTAATCAAATGTTGTTTTATTTATTAATGCATATTTCATATAGCACAGTAAATTGCTTATTTGTTTCTGTGACATTATCCATAAGAGCGAGTGATGGACAGTAATATTTTTTTGTAATTAAATAGTGAAATAATTCCCATTGAAAGCCTTTTTTACTGCATCACTACACAGCAAACACAACAAGTGTTACACAGACACACAACCAAGCACGACATGAATTTACACTGAGCATCAAAAACATTTCCTCTGTGTGTCCTCTCTTTGGGAACAGCTCCAGGTGAGGAAGTGCAATAGCGCCCCCACTCTTCCACTGCCACCATCACTTATCACTCCAGGACTTTTTCCTCATGAACACATTCTTTATCTATCTCATTACATGCAAGCACATTTTCTTCATCATCCAATTTGAATGATTCAGATTCTCTGCCAAAGACTTGTTTTCCAGTTATTCCAATCACATTGGTTTCTCATAATAAATACTTTAAATCTTTTCAGCAGCAGCACTTCCTATTCACTCGTGTCCTTGTGTCATCTTTCAATACTTGTATTTTTAATGTTTCAGGACCGGTTCTTTCCTCCCCTCCCACCCCTCCATTTTTCTCCCGATTGATGCAATCTGAGGTTGAAGGCCCAGGCCTCCGGAGCTGCAAATTTACCCAGCAGCACACGTCACTAACAGGGGAGCGCAGCCATCCCAAAATAGCCTAAACAGCAATTGGTGAAAGGGGGCCCAAGTGGTAGTTAACAAGGACTGATTCTGACAACAAAATGAAGCTCCGCACGTTTTATGTGAACACCCGTCATTTGATGAGTCACTCATGCAAACCCTGCTGGCTGATGTGCCTCAGCGATGCTACGGTCATATTTAGAAACAAGTCATCTGAATGATTTTGTTGTTTGACATGTGCCTCTTCACAATTAGGAACTTTTAAATGAGGGCAACCCGGGCTTTAGTGTGATCCCTGAATAAACAGTTACTGTGGCACGGTTGAGCGACATGAAAGGCTGCACTGATGGTGCTGGAACGCAACCCAGCGATTTGCTTATTCAAGTACACACGTTTCACAACTGTGAGGAGAATCTGTTGCATCTGCTTTGTGAGACAGATGGGCCACCATCCTGTCGCCCAAACTTGTTTAAACCGTCCGAATAATTTAGGTTGTCTGAATAATCCAGTTGAAAATCTTGTAGGGCGACATGTTTCTGTGCGGAAATAAATCAAAATACTCTAAAGGTGTCGCTCCACTCTCGTCATGTCACAGCCAAACTGCCTGCAACTTAACACAATGCCTTTAGATGCTTGCATAATTGTGTGCTGGTGTTGCATAAGGGAGAAGAAATGCAGGGTTTAATTAAAAGCAGCTAACAAAGGCAACAGTCAGGGGTTTTCTCGTTGCACAGCACACACTGCAATTCCTAGAATTTCTGAAAGCATCCCACAGTGGAGGAGCCTTGTTTATGAAGCCTGGCACTGGCCCGGAACTGAAATCAAGGCGTTCGGACTCAAAGAGCCACGCAGAGCTAAAACAACTTGCAGATTAAAGTGTGCGAACTACACAGAACTTCTCATAATTGTTCTGTTGGGTCGCTATTACCCAATTGATGCCAACTAATATCTGTTTCAGTTACGAATCGTGTTTAACATCAGTCTTGCAGCTGTTGTCTGCAAGAGAGCTGTTGATGTGTGCAAGCGCATTAGCAGAGACACAATAACAAGCTATACGTGTGGGAACTGACACTGTTGTTTTGAGTTTGTGCTTGTTTACAGCTCGTAACACAAAGGCCCGCCACACAACTGAACTCCTGGGGCCTCACCCAGCGTAACCCCACTTTAACCACTGAGTAAATCTCATCAGGTAATTAAATCATTACAGTTGAGTTGTTTATAATAGCCCTACGTCGCACCCATGGTGGGATAAACATGAGCCAATTACACATGTAAAACAGGTGACAACATTCATTTAACACGTACAGTATCTTGTGGAGTTCCTGTCATTTCTCACCACTAATACAAAGATAGCGAGATGGAACAACTGTGGTAACAATGTGTGTGGACCAGAAGGAGCAGTGGTGGGTCACTCAATCAGCTCTGATTGTGTTTTCACTTGATATCGCGTGTGGGATAATCTCATTCAGTTCATTGTTTCATTGTTTGTTCACCTAACACTGAGTTTGGAAGGGAACAGGAGAGGTGGCCAAAAGGGGGAGGGCTGGGGGGGCATTTTTGGGAACTCTTTCTTCTATTTAAGCTCACTGTTATACCTTCATTCATTTTGTGTACAGTTATAATATCTGATCTTTCATTCACGTCATGTGCTCAGGGGATATAATGAATTAAAACCTTAAAGGTCCAGTGTGTAAGATTTAGGTGAAAGGGAACTATTGGCAGAGATTTAATGTAGAATAATCCTCATGATGTTTTCACTAGTTCATTTCATCTAAATTGTATGAATTGTGGTTTTCTTTACCCCAGAAAAGTCCCTTTATATTTAAATACTTTATATTTACATCGAGGGGACCCTCTCTAAGGAGGCCGCCATGTTTTTAACATTAGTCCAGACTGGACAAACAAAACACCTTTTGAGTTTTTATGAAAACTGAAGCTTCCACAGTTTCTTTTTCATGTTTGGAAGGAGAGGGTGAGGTGAGGGGTGTTCAGCTGCAACATGCACTAAATACTACACTCTGTACCTTTAACATTTAGTATAATGATCAAAGCTCTGTCAGTAGTTTTTTGTTGGGGAATGAATCAGGTTTGAAGCTACATTGGAAAAACATTGCCACAACAATTTGGTCCACCTCAAGAAAAACTGTGTGAATGTATTTTCGAGGTCTAAGGTTTCCCACAATGTGTAATTTGATACTACGTCAATCAGTTTGTGCTTTTATTCAACACACTGCAGATATAATTCTATCACAGCAACAGGTTCCACTAAATCCTGCACTGCATTTGTTTGATGACAATCATAATTGTAACCCACACATTCAAACTCAATGATGAAAACTAATTGAAGAGACTCCTCCCAGGAAGCCTTCAAGAAGAGCTCTCTTTTGAAATTGTTCATCTAAAATATTTGAAGGACTTAAGGCATCTACTAAGATATCTTTTATTACGTAATCTATTTTCCACATCTAACACAATAGATCTGCAGGACACTCTACATTGGTTGTTGATAAAGACTCCTCAAAGCAAATCAAAGTTAAATTATTCCCCCATTTATTAAAGGTTACAAAAATATATCGGAGCAGCAGTAACCTTCTAGATACTGTATCACACACAGAAAATATATTAAAAACATAATCAAAGGTGTGCATATTGCAGAAATAGAAAGAAAACAATATAATTTCCAGTTGCTCATTTTAAGGGAAATATTCAACACAACAAAAACAATCTCAGAATGGTCTTAGATGGAGCAAAGCTCATGCAGGCCACGTGAATGACTTGCAGACATGGATCTGAGTGATGTTAACAGGATGATGTCTGACTCACACACTAGGTGGCAGTACAGCTTTGCATGGCACAAATAAAAACATGTCTAATAATCATACAGAAAACATTTCAACAGTGAATGAAAAACATTTGATGCTTGGCCTTGATATGAAGACATGAATCATTTAGTGTGATGGTTGTTATTATCTTACTGCTAAAGCAGCTGTTCACTTTAAGTTATGAAAAATGAGAATCCAACTTGCAGCTAAAACTCAGATATGTGAACATATCCCACATTTGAGAAGGCCGTAGTTATACCGTAGTCATTTCAAAGTCTAAGTTCTGTCAGAATTCTCACTTACTCACATTTTGAAATGCAATTGGTAATAATAATAATCTCAGAAAAGATCAGGGGACAGATCCTCGATTGTTTTCACTTACTTAAAAATTGAAAGATTTCTCAGAGAACAATTCATGGGTTGAATTTAAAAAAAAAAAAAAAATATGTTTAGAGGATTGATGTCTATGAATTTGGCCTTGACCCACTGCATCAAGATTAAAATATTATGATATTATGAACCATCAAGTATGTTGCTGCTGAGCTGGAAACAAGCAGAGGACGAAATAATGCACCCTGGACCGGTTTCATGCTTCTCTAATTGTGCGTATTGTAGCTCATTGATAAATTCTACATTCAAGGTCTCACATGGTCTTGAGGAGCCAACCATAACCTAAATTGAATAAATATTGCCAGAGGGCTGCTCTTCTGGTGAAAAAAGGCACCAGTCATGCAGAGCATTTTCTAGTCATATTCATAATAAAACCCAAGATATGGTTACACACTGGCCAGGGAGGACATCTAGTGGTTTGCTGCTGCATGGTCTACTATCTGGTATCAACAGTGCCTTAGAACATTTCCCCTGAGCATATTAGGATATGTTACCCTTACTAGCTAAATACTATATGTAACAGGAAGCTCACATGATAGCTGTGCAAACCATCCTTATCAGGCTCTGCAGCTGTGGACGTCATTGTAAAAACAAACATTAAATACAGAGAAATGAGCATGATGGAAGTAGTTAATACTATTTCAGCCTCCAAGGCAGTTCAATGCTGCCTGGTCCAGGTCGGAGGAAACCGCTGACAACCTCGTACGTAACAAACACGGCAACCCCAACAGGGAATGCACGCAAAACGCTGATGCCCAAGCTTCTGTAGAAAACCCCGACCCCTTCCACCCGCACCGTGTCAGTCAAGCAGTGGATAAAACTTCTGTATTGCCTCGGCCCCCGAATGCCGTCCATCTGCAGACGGGATTTGATGACATCCATGGGCGTGGCTACAGTCCAACCCGCAATTCCTGCTGTTCCACCGGCCAGCATTACGCCGCTCCAATCTGAAATGAGAAGATGCTGATGTAAAAGGGAGACATCGTATCCTCAGGGAACTTGTAACATAATTAGGACGTTCTTGGCTTCTGCATGTTTGCCTTGTTGTGTTTGCAAGCCATGGTTTACCTCAGCTCATGCAACACTTTTGATTTACTGTCATACAAAGGAGCCGACAAGCACCAACAAGGACGGTTATTAAATAATCCTATTGTCAGGAAAACTGCCATACATCTATTAGATATGAAATGATTATAATAAATGTGTTTATTTTTAAAGAATGAATTAAAAACACTAGAACATGCATTAGGCCTTAACATGCAAGAGGCGTCGTGCTCGGTAATCATTCAAGCAGCTTCCCCAAAAGAAAGAAAAGGCAGAGCGTGGTGGAAAGGTGACGTAGGCTGCATTCATCTCTGGTATTAACATGCTTCTGGTGTGATCCGACAAGTGGACAAGACTCTGGGCTCACATCATTTCACACCTGGTAATAGAATGCGTCGAGACATCTGTCTCAAGTGACCACTTTCCTGCTCTATATGCAAATGAACATGGTCAGAGTGTTGTTGTTTCAAGCCAGTCTGCCTCCATTGTCAATATTTGTGTATGTTTGTGTGTGTGTGTGTGTGTGTGTGTATGTGTGTTAGATCCCGTCCAATATCCGCTGCCGATATAAGAGGGTAATCAGTCATTCTCAATGATTCTTAAGATGTCATAATCAAACCTTCATGACACAGAAATGTAATTGAAACTTGATATTTTAACATTTAACCAAAAACGTATAAATAAATAAGAAGAAAACACATCTGTAACCACTGTAACCATGTTCACAGGGAAGTAGACTTTACTCACCTGGACTTTTCTTGCCACTGTGTGTGAGTAATTCACAGCAAACGGAATAAGTCCAAAAGTACGTGGCAAACGATGGCGCATCTCGTAGTATGAGCGGTAGTATTCCTCTGTAGAGGCCCCGGAAACCCTCTTCTCTAATAATGCTCAGCAGACAGTGAATTGGACCATGGTACTTAGGTTTGGGCATGTTGGGTCCTCCTCGCCTGGACTCGGTTTGACACTGCAGTCGTACTTTCACGATGTCACCTGGAGCCAGCACTGAAGTCTGTTGGATAAGGAGATAAGGGAACTCTATCAGATTTCTCAAAACGGGGACAGATAAAGATAACACACAACGAGACTTTGCATTGTAAACAACATGGAAGATGGAATGAATCAAACATTTCCAGGCAGTTGATAAAATTGTCTCCATTACCTGAACTACACCTGCCACCATACCAGACAGGAAGATATCTAGTTTACTGTTTGGAGCCGTACAATCGACTCCTCGTGCCTGGTTCAGACACTGCAGGCAGTTCCTGTATGTGCCAAATACTACAGCGGAGGTCACAGAGATCGTGCTGATGGGTAAGGACATGCCTTTGAAGAAGCCATACACCTGATGACACAAAAAAAGAGGGACACCAGTGAGAAGAAGTAAACAAAGCAAATCTGAAAACTGTATCACTCCATTTTTAGCTATTCAGTTGGCTTTAAGTGCCCGTCGGTGAAAATCAAGATGACTTGTGCCTTTAATATGATAAAAGACATTATGAGTAAAATACACATTCAGAGTCATTGCAGAGTATTTCCACTTTAATACCGCAGTGAATAAATGCCAGTCTGAAAAAAAAAAAGATTCAAACAGCCATGCAGGTTTTGTGACTTCACAAGGAGGGGCGGGGGCCATGTTAGCATATTTGCATCACCAAAATGAGTAAGGAGGGTGTATAGTTACATATAGTTACATTTAGAGAATTTTAAAGGTCCAGTGTGTAAGATTTAGGTGAAAGGGATCTATTGGCAGAAATTTAATGTAGAATAATCCTCATGATGTTTTCACTAGTTCATTTCATCTAAACTGTATGAATTGTAGTTTTCTTTACCCGAGAAAAGGCCCTTTATATTTA